CCCTAGAGAAATTACTGAGTTCAGGGTACCCATGTACTGAGTATGCTTCAGCGAGGTACCTGATATGGGTACCATTGAAACTTATCAGTAACTTAACTGTCGTAGGTACTTGTTCAGGTACCTATAGCAGTATGTGTACTGAACAAGAACTGACGTGGGTACTTAGCTCAGTAAATTTACTGGGGAATGTCTTGCAGGGTACCTAATTTTTCTTTTTTTTTCATGATGGATTCTACAGAAACAAACATATTAGCGCACACTAGCAAAAAATGGATTTTGTAGATTTAATTTCGTCGTGTAAGGTTCATATTATCTCTTGAAAAATTGTTTTTTTTTAAAGCGACATTCAATAAGTCGAGGCAGAGATAAAATGTAATTGCGATTGGTGCATTTTTCTGAGAAAGACGACCGTTGTATGCAAATAATGAAATGATCAATAGTCGAATTTAAATACGTGTTGTATACAAGAGGAATGGAATTGCAATTTCAATGATGAATGCATGAATATTAATGTAATTATATTGTGCAAGAAAATAGAGTAACTTATCACCTTAGTTTGGACAAAAATATTTGTTTATAATGCATCGTATCAAATTCGAAATTAAGTAGCAAAATGGAGATCATAATTGCTAACAATACAATATTGATATGCTTCTGTTTTTTTTTATTTCTTTTTATATTTATTTTAGTGGATATTCTGATCAACGAGGCGTACTTGTTTTATTATATTAACAATTATAATATTTTTTTAGATGTCTCGTATTTTTTTTTCCAGAAATGATGCTGAACGACAAAGAAAAAAGCGTACTATGAAGCGAGAGAAAATGATTGCTGCTGCCATCGAAAGCAGTGATGATGACATATCCAATGACTCAATGGACGTCTTTACATCACATTCATCATTAACTACTGATCCATCATTACATGCTTTATATCAAATCGACGATCCAAGTTCACAACAACCAAATAATACTGCTGATTTTTCATCCTCATATGAAGACGATGATGATGATCTGAATGAATTATGTCGTACAAGCGATATTAATTATCAGCGTAAACTTTATACTGGTACTTTTTTATCATTACACGATGCTTGTCAAATAACTATCAAACTGGCCCGTCGATTAAATCTCGACAAAAAAAAAACAAATATCTTATTAAAGGGCATACATGCTTTATTACCGCAAGATAACAAATTGCCCAAGACAACAGTAGGATTGATGAAAATTCTTGGTTAGTATTGTTTATTTGTTTCATATAGAATTATCTTTACTCATATTAGATGTGCTAAAATGTTTGGAACATTCTTTGCTACACACATATTTCGGCTTAGATAAAATCGTAAAACCTTGGTTTTTTTTCAGAAGGTGCATCGTGAAGAGTTCTATAAAAGTTGCAAGGTCAAATCCCTATTGACCTATGGTAATGTTTTGTTTTCATACTGAAAATGATTAACCTACATGATAGTAGTACTTTCCGTCTTATTGTACTTAATAAAAAAATGTTTGCAAGACATTTTTTATTTTGGGTATATCTCAGGTGAAAAATAATTATAAAGGCTTGGACTTTTCTACTAAGACAAGTCGGCGAAAGTTCCATAAAAGCTATATAATTAAATCTCTATTGGCTTGTTGTAATAATTTTTTTAGGGGATTCAAAGTAAAGGCATGCCTGATACTACTACCGTTTCTTCTAAAATGCTTACAACATTTTTTTTCTCATAAATCTCGATTTGACAATATGATAAAACCTTGAATTTTTTTAAAATGCACTGTGAAAAGCATTACAAAAACTGTATAAAAAAAGCTCTAGTCATCTGTTCTGGTGTTTTTCACAATCAAACTGAATAACCAATATGGTGGTATTACTACCTATCGCCAACAGCGTTATAAAAATATTTGGAAAATTTTTTTTATTTTGTATATATCTTCGCTTAGGTAGATGATAAATTCTTGATTGTTCTTTCAAAAGCGAAACGTTCTGACAAGTCTCACAAAAATTGTAATATCTAGTCTCTACTGCAAAATAGCAATGTCTTTAAAACATTTTTTCGTATGTACAATATGGTGGGAAATGATACTATCCTGTAGATTTTTCATTTTGAATAGAGGAAAAAATATAACCACAAGCCAATTCCAATTTGATTTTGCAGTTTTTACAAAGCTTTTCACGATGCTGTTTTTGAAAGAAGATTAAGATTCTATCATTTACCTAAGGCGAGCTATACGTGTAGTAACAATGCTACAAACATTTTAGCACACCCAATATTTGATTTAGGTATTAATAATGATAAAAAAGTAATTTATTATTGTGCTGAATGTCTTACTTGTTTGGAAACGCCTCAACAAACAACATGCTCACCTAATTGTCCTTTAAACAATAATTACCGTCCATTTTCGAACGCCAGTGAATTAACAATTAATGATGTTAAATGTGAAATCCGTAGCACCATAGCAAGATATGCTAATGTAATTAATGATTATCGAAATCGGTCAAAGGTATTATTACCTTGCGACGTACCAAATGCTAATGTATATCAAACAATATCTTCCACAACAGCCATCAAAAGTAATCAAAATCAAGTTACAGTTATGCTCCACACTGATGGAGCACCAGTTACTAAAATTAAAGGTAAATCTTTATGGCCTATTCAAGCTACTTTGTGTGAAATACCACCACCACTTAGAGATCATAAACAAGCTATAATGATATTTGGAGCTTGGCTTGGAATTCATCATCCTGACAGAAATCTTTTATGGAAAAATGTAGTTAATCAAATTCAACAATTATTTAAAGATGAAATTATAGTTACCATCAATAAACAGCAACTTAAGTACATTGTACGAATTCAATTAATAACATTTGATCTTCCAGCACTAGCATCAAATTGCAACATCGTACAGTACAATGGATACAATGCGTGTCCATATTGTCAAATGTCAGGTAAAGCAGTCGACAAACAAGTTATGTATCCACATTCACCAATTCCATGTCCACCTAAAACAACTGATGATTATCGACGATATGGTACATTAAATTCTTCGTCTACTATAACTATGGGTATTAAGGGTCCTTCGCCATTAACCGATATACTATTATTTCCAATTCAAGTTGCCATTGATTACATGCATTTGACTTGTAGTGGTCATGTAAAAACTTTAATTGGATACTGGCACAAGATGTTACTACCGAAGGTATTTGAAGAAGCGTCAGTTTATTTATCATCCATTATATTGCCGCATAATTTTAATCATCAATTTATGCCATTAGTTGATTATCAAAATTGGAAAACCAAACTTTTCCGGTAAGTAACACTTTTTTATTTCTTATTACGAACTAATAAACAATTTTAACTTTTAGAGATTTTTTCTTATATATTTCGCCTGTGTTTAGCATTTTATTTCTACCTGATAGATATGCATTACATTTTTTATACTATTTTATTTATGTTCGTACACTATATCATTACGAAACAATATCAGAATTAGACAACATAGATTTATTATTTGACGAGTATTACAAAAATTTATCTAAATTATATGGCGAAAAATCTGAATTACTTACTGTACATTTGCATTCACATTTAAAAGAACAGGTACTTCATCATGGTGCTTTATCGATGACATCATGTTTTCCACGTGAATCATATTTGGGATTGGCAGTAACCATGTGCTATGGTAAGAAATATGTTTTAGCACAATATATATCATGGCATTTGATTGATCGTTCTTTATGCGACAAGAATACCATCGAAGTGAATGATGTTTTTATTACTGAACGATTTTATGATCGTCATTTAGATATACAAATGATTGCAAGATATAAAGCAAAATTAATTGAATGTTTGAAAAGACAAAAAATAATGTTCGATGAAAGTTTGCAGATCCAATATTATGCTCGATATCGTCGTGGTCTTAAAAGTTATCATTCAAAAGTTTATTCACGTGCTGGAAGAGCAATTAGTCACAGAGTGTCTGTTGCCAATCCTAAATGTACGCACGCAAGAAAAAGATGTTTCGCTAATGTTATATTTTATTTTAAATTATCCAATGTCTATTATGCATTTATTAAAAAATATCCATGTATTAATCTTAGTTTAGGATCCGGCTTAACGACAGCTGCTATTCCACAAAATATTCTTGAACGACTTGATCTTTATTACGGTTTGTTTAATACAAAACAAAATTCTTATAAAGTAGTGCAAGTAACCGATATCATAAACAAAGTAATCAGAATGAGTTGGAACGAAGAAAACGTTTTTGTATTTACTGATATTGTTGTTGACTGGGAACACGACTGAGCTAAAAGTTTTTCTATTGTCGACAGTATTGTTCCATTCTATATTTATTTGATGATTCAGTCGACAATAACGTGAAGTAGATCTGTTTTTGTCTATAGAGACATGAATCTCTGTAATATTGCATTTATTTCACCATATCATTATATTATTGATTTTGAACTTTTCACTTCAGATATTTTTTATAATCTTATACTCATTTCATCATGAATCGTTGTTCGTCTCGAACAACTGCTGGTATGAACAATCGGTATTCGTCAAAAGAATATGTATTGGCATCATTCATGAAGGGTAAAAAACATGCAGTAGTACCTATAACGGCTATTAATATCAATCCTATAAACATGGGAAAAGGCGAAATAAAGATTTGTGGTGATACACAATCATTAACCATTGTATCAAAAGGTTGGTTGATTTTATCTTTTTAATGAAGCATCTGTTGTGAATAAAACTATTTTAGGTACAAAGGCACAAATGCATCTGGATAAAACTAAATATGCACGTCAAACTGGTAGTGAAGAGATAGATTTAGGGAATTTTGTTGATAGTGAAGACGAAAAAGAAAACCAAGAACAAGATTTAGATATGCCAACATCGTTGGTACAAACGTTATCAACACCACAAGGATCAACAACATCAAAAGAAAACTTAACCAACAATAAATTATCTCAAAGTTATTCGTCATCCCGATCAAGTATTATTCATACAACAAATGATAAACCATTAATTAGTACTATAATTTTACATCAGATATTTCAAAATATACACATATTCATCATTTAGACTTCGACACTGTATTTAATTCACCATCAACATCCAAGAAACGTCCACATGATTCTGAAAGTTCACTTGATGTCAGCGAAAACGATGATGATGATGAAGGTAAGAGAGTTCGAGTAGCAGACGAATCATATTTACCTTAGATTTCTTTAGAACCACGAAATGTAATTAAAAAACAAGCAAAGCACAACGATAGTAGTGATATGTTGAACAGACTATTGAATCGAAAAAAAGCACCGGCAAGAAAAAGAAAAAAATTAGCATCAACTGTTATAGGTAACTACACCAGCAATAGAAAAATATCTATAATGTACTTTTTAGATTCAACAGATGTTGAATGTAAAGGATGTAGGGACTTATGTGATGTTATAAATAAACTTACGAAGCGTGTGGAACGTGTTGAACGTGTTGTACCGGCAGTAAAACAATTCTTTCGACAAAAAAGCGTGAGTATAGTTTTCAACTTGATGGTATTGGTTTAATTCTTTATTTCATAGACCGGTGCAGAGTCATCATCAACAACAGCACCATTATCAAATATTGAACAAATTAATCTATCTATCAAAGTAAGATGATTATTGTTTTAGATATGTCATTTAGCATCATTTCTAACTATGAATGATAAATGAAAATCAGATGTCAGCTTATAGAAAAGTATATTATTATAAAGTTGAAAAATTTTGCACTTGCGAGACAAAGAATAATCATTGATTAATCTTTTCATCAATGAATAACAATCATTGATCAATTGACTCGTGAAAAATGATAGTAGATGCAGTAATAATTCACCAACGTTACAACTGAAATAAAACAAGCTTTCTTATGCGACAAACGAAAATTGGTTACTTAACTTATCATATTATATGTAGAGTTTCTGGATTTGATGGAGAGTTTTCTTTTAAGAATATGTCAGCTAAATGTTATTCCTTAATAATCAACGGACCAAATGAAGAATAAAATCTATATGTTTTTCTGAAGCTTCCCTTTAATAAGAATTCGAGTTTCGAGCTGCATGCTATAAAACTCTTTGTAATATACTTTGTCTGAATGAGTATCTATTTTCCAGCAATATCCTTATATCTATAGGTAAATATATAAAAAGAACCCAACGGAAATATATCAGTACTTTTTCTTTCTTCAATTTAAGACAATCTGGCATATCGTTTGTCATTTAGGAAATTTTTGATGTCGAACCCAATCAAGTAAAAGGTCCACGAGATCGGCCTACCATCATCATTCGACATCTTTTTACAATATCGAATCATGTATCTGATTATCGTCAATATTTAGAAAAACATTCTAATTTATTAAAAGGTAATTTAATATACGTATGAATAATCTAACAGTCATATTTATATCTAGCATTCTTACAATATCGTTGTCCTGGTATACTTAATATGGATGACACGTGGTTAGAAATCAATAAATCAATGGCATCATTAGCAAATGATATCAAGAAAAATACGAAAACAAAACTAGCTCGACAAATGGCGAACTCATCAACCAGTCAACAACAGCTGATAGCAACTATACCGTCAAATGACATGTCAACAACACCAGATGATGATCTTAAACAGAATTTAACTTTTTAAGTACACATTCCACGCCCATTGAAAGTATACACTTCGAGTTTTTTGTTTTTTATTAATATACGTTTTTATCTATTAACCTACTATATATAGGAAGAAAGACTGGGATGCGCTGCATCTTTTGGTATATTTACATTGAACACCAAATGGAGTTTAAAGTATAAAAAGTGTATCAGAAAAAAAAGTGACATTTTTTGTTTTGTCAAATTTCGGGTATCCACACTGGTGTAGTATTTTTTATTTCGCATATACCTCGGCTTAGGTAAATGATAAAACGTTGAATTTTTTTCTAAAAGATGCGCCGTGAAAAGCTCTATAAAAGCTGCATGATTGAATTCTTTTTTTATCTAATCTAGTGGTTTTTCTGATACTCAAAATGAAATAGCTTACACAGTAGTATCACGTCCTATCTTGTAGAAAACGTTTCCAGGACTTCTCTGATTCAATATAGGACTTGGTCTATAAAAGTTTTGTAGAACTTTCGACGGCATATCTTTTGAAAAAAAATTCAATATTCCGTCATTTTCTCAAGTCCAGATATATGTCGATCAAAAAAAGTCTTCCAACAGTTGCAGTATGATTGGAAGTGACACTGGCATGTAATTTGTTCATTTTGAGTATCAGAAAAACCGCTAGATTAGATAAAAAAGAATTCAATCATGCAGCTTTTGTAGAGCTTTTCACGGCGCATCTTTTGGAAAAAATTCAATGTTTCATCATTTACCTAAGTCGAGATATATACGAAATAAAAAATGTTACAACATTATGGACAACGTGTCAAAAAAGAAAAAGTGACTTTTTCTTCTAATACACTTTTTATACTTTAGACTGCATTTGATGATCAATGTAAATATACCAATAGATGCAGCGCATTCCAGACTTTCTTCCTATATATAGTAGGTTAATAGGTAAAAAAACGTATATTAATAAAAAACAAAAAATTTGAAGGGTATATTTTCAATGGGCGTGGACTGTATATCAATTCAATATCGCCATGGATAAAAATTGTAAGTGATTTATTTTGATCTTATTCTCGATGACTTTTAGTGGTAATTTAAAAACAGTTCATTTTTTATGTTTTTTGTTGTGGTGTTTGTCCACATTTTATTCTACTTCTATAGCGTATATACGAACAGAAATTCATTATCTTATCTGATAAGTATACAACATTTTTATTAGGACTTCTAACTTTCATTTTTCTTTGTTTAACGCATCTTGTAAATTTTTGATTTTTCTCGTATCGTAAGATATAGTTAATTTTGTAACATACTGCTGATTATTTTATTTGATTCAATAAATAGTCTTTGATTTTCCACATCATAATGAATCATTGTTTCTTAATTATGTTATTTGATACTTCAACAAAACCACTGCAAAGTTTTGATCATGCCATTTTTTTCTGATATTAATTTGGAAGAAAAGAAATTAATATTTTTTTTTGCATAACAATGTAGTAGTAAATAATTAGACTTGCAACTTTGAGACGTATTACGACAAAAAAAAATAACGAAGTCGAAAGTAA